CGACTCCGCTTTACTCTTATTTTGCGACACCACCCTCTAGTGGTGCAATATGATATAAACATTACAGAACACAACACATGTCATAATGAAACTTTTCTGAGTGTTATAACCCAACAGTGACAAGCCCCTCGTTTCAGTGCATTTAATTCGGCGATGCAAATTGGACAGAGCGACTGCGCTATAGTTACAAATCCGTGCTGAGCCTAAAGGCAATGATGGACATTCCTAATTAGTGATATTGATCCTGATCTCAAATTCTATTTAATCTTCTTGTAATTTTTTGCTGTATTTGTTTACATTTAAGCTCCTTGGGAAAAACACTGTGAACACAGGAGTCTAAACCAGCCTCTTTTTAACTCGCTGCTGCACTGTTAATCCCATGAGCTGAGTTCCCCAAACCTCACTCATCAAATAGAAGGTAGAGAAGGATGCAGGAGAAGGATGCATGACTGGAACAGACAGGACATTTTATGACTTACTGTTCTCAGAAACCTCCAGGATATAGCGTATGAGGGGACTGTTGCCATCAAACGGCTTGGCCCAAGCCAGGTCGATGGCTCTTTTTTCAGATTTGCTCAGCACGGCCGTAGGGTTCTCTGGGGCATGGGGCAACTGTCTGCAGAGAACAGCAGGACAAGAGCGATAAATAAAAGAATCTCTCTATTACAGCAAACAAGCCGCGGAGCCAAGGGAGTTAGCGAACGTTTCGTTTCTCTCTGAAGACCGCTTGTACAGATCTAAAGTAAGGCAAAATCTTTTGTAAGAGAGAGATCAGTTAGACAGGTGATGAAATGTGGCGAGACGAGACAGCAAAGATGGTTCCTTGTCAAGATGGACACACAGGCAAACAAAACGAGATGGATATCACTGGAGGGAGGAAAGGGATTGAAAGGCATAAGGAGACAGATAGAAAGAAAATGCACAGGGAGACATGAATAAATGAGGCCAAAGCAGAGGATCATTAATTCATTCAGCCATAAATTCAGATAAGCACAGACAGATTGATAGATAAACCTTATAGCAATGAATTGATATAGACAGTAACTCAGTCAAAAGGCAGGCAGCCAACGAGACGGCCGATAGCACGATAAACAAAGACAGAAACAATCAGTCAGTCAGTCTGGCAAACAGAAAGTTTGATGTCACATTCATATTCGATTCACTCTCGCCGCCGTGGCTCTCTGTGTGCCAAAGTATAACCGTAGCAGGCAAAGTTATGCGGAAGCGAGGGATTTGAGAATAAAAACAGAAGCGCTCGTGCATGCATGTGTAGTATCGGAGATGGAGAATGGAGGCGGAGGTCCCCTGGGGCTGGAAGTGTGTCAGGTGAGAATGAGGACAGGGGAGGTGAGGAAGAGCAGGCGTCACTTAAGTGAAAATGAGTCAGCGGTGTCAATAGGAACAGACAGAATAGCAGTGGTGGTAAGCACTCATGTGTCTGGCGCTCGCACATGCGTGTGCATGTAAATGATGTGCTACGCCTCTGTGTGTGTGTTGTGTCTCTACAAAGAACATGTTGCTTCCTGTGTTTTTACACTGGAGAATATCGGAGAAACAAAAGGGTGAGAGGAAAAAGGAAGGCCGGTAAATAGAAAGTCGCACGATGGTGATGGTGAATGATGGGAGGAGGGCTTGTTACCTGACACGGAGGTGCGCGCTGCGGGAGTCGTTGCCTCCAACAGAGGTCACTCTGCATGTGTAGGTGCCTATGTCACCCGACCAGGTTTGGGAGATGTGAAGCGTACCATCTGCATCTAGCCGCATGCGGGGGATGGACTGAACGTTTATCACCGAGCCCTCTTTTTCCCAGACATGCCTGGAATACAAAGACTTCAGTCAGCTGGCTTGTTAAATGTCATTAACGTCATCATCATCTGCTGCATCCATTCCTTCCACTGCATCAGTCAATCAATTTAAACACATTTTTCAAAAAAAAGGAAACTGCGATATTCATCAGCCTCTGTGTTTTTTCCATTATTACAATTAGTCACAATATAGCATTACTCACCACCTGCACGCCGATCGCAAACACTCATACTGCATGTTAAGCACATTCTTTACACTTTATTGCTCAATTAAATCCATGAAATTATCTGTCAAAAGTCGTTTCTAGCACACTTCCAGAAGCTAACGCTGGATAATTTAATTGCCACCCGCCGCAGAGTGGAACTTATCAGGTACATATATATGTATGTCACCTTCAGATTGCAGGTTAACTCTTTTTGACAGTAAAGCAAAGAGTAAACTGAGGTTTTGGTTTTCTTTTATTCGACCACAATCTAAGAAAAAACATGTCATTAGTGTGGTTTTTCATCTTCCTCTCCCCTGTCTCTTCAAACTCACCGTCACAGTTGCCCCGCATATCGTCGCGGCTGACGGGTGCATATCAAACGACCGATTCACCCTCGTCAAATCTGCGCGGCGCAAACGTGGCTTCAAACGCAGCTTTCTCCTCCGAGTAGAAAGGGACTATTGATCACTACTGATGTCAGCTACATGCTCGGAGTTCACTACATTTTCTGCGGAAGGGCTGTTTGTTGCGCTGGTTTGGGCAGCAGCTGTAAAGTATTGTGCGAGGGACTCTTTATGTAAAGAAATATGTATATGCTGGTGGCTGACAAACATGGTTAACAGGCGTAGGTGTATGTCTAGGTCAAAGGTTTCCTCTGTGTAGTAACAGCAATTCAGTGCATGTATTTATTTATTTTTTGTGCGACCCTTAACCCTTCCCTATAGCAGAATTGTAGTGGTGAAAATAAGATAATAAGGGTACTAACTGACATACACAACCAAGCTGAGGATGAAGCGTCTTCATTAGCCAATCTAAAAACAAAAATCTCAACTGCAGAGATTTATTAGGTATTAAACATGTAAGAAATAAATAAAAATAGGTTAGGATGAGTGTCAGGATGAGTTAATCTATTTTAATCTTCTCTTCACCAGGAAGACACGGCTGAGTCCCTTAGAAGTGATCCAGATAGTGGTGCAAAGCTTCTAAACAGGTCCTTTTAACTAGCCTTGATATATATATTTTTTTATGCTAAATCGCCATCAAATTGAGAAGTCAAGTTAAGATTCCTCTGCACGGTCAGGCATCCACATTCATTAGTAAAGGTCTCTGGGGTCTCTGGGGTCTTCTGATCAGTATGTGTTGGTCGAATCTTTCTCCTGGCGTAAACTAAAAAAGATTCTGCAGCTTTTGAGGATGTGACTCCTACATTTCAAACTCGGTTTTTTGATCTGTGGACAC